GCTGGAGAATCTGAGAACCTGGTATCTGCTCACCCTACAGCCCTGAGCTTCAGCAGTCCCAAGCTGGTGCTGAAGACCTGGAGAATTCCTAGAAAGCTCCTGTCTTCATAAAAAGATGGGTTCTAATGTAAGCAAAACATGGCAGCAGCGGTGATAACAGCAGGACAGAAGTGCTAACTAGCAAGATGCAAACACACAGAACCTCTTCCCCCTTGCAACTTTATACCTGGGCCTTCTGGAAAGTTCTACCCACTCTGAGGGAGGATCTACTCCACTCATTTCACCCTTCTTGCAGACACCACTTACAGACCACCCAGAGGCATGTCTCTTAGTTGATTCTAGTTCCTATTGAGTTGAAAGTCAAGGTTAATCAACATACTTGCCCTTCTCCTATCAGAAACCCACATGGGTGTAGGGGAACACACCATAAGAAATTTACTTGATGGTCTTAAACCTTAACTCTAAGGATTAGAGGTAGGACCCAGATAGTCATCATGGCCTGAGTCCAAAGAGGCTGGCCAGCCTGTTAGAGCCGTCTGCATAGGGGTTTCTGCTAGTGGTCTACATGCTGTTCTGTCTCATCACTCTTGGATGAAGAAGGAATATTAGAAATATTTATCTAAAAAATCATTCTTTGAGCTTTCTGTTTTTAGAAACTATTCTCTGCCTGTTATTAATGCATCCATTCCTCAGAGAGAACAAAATTGATTAGACTTTAAACTTTATGTTGGGTACCCATTATGTTACCATAAATAGAGCATAGCTGTACTTGGCGTTCTTGAGAGCCTTACATGCAGATTGTTCCTTGTAATGTTTTCCTTGACTGGGGGACTGATTGCATGATTGCATGATTACAGGTCACATTCAGAAGGTGACATTAATTCTGTGCTTTAGAGGTCTTGGTGGATGCTAAGTACCAACGGCAGTATTCTTCAGATTTGTGTAACATCATTTCTTTGAGGCATATTCTCCTGCCTTATCAAAATTGTACTGTTTTATTACTTGGTAAGATCCAGTGTCTTGCTTCTCTGGTGAAATCTTGCCAGGTGGACTTGTAAAACGATCAGTTTCAACTGAAGGATGACTTATAAAAACAGGATTTTCACGAAAGCCCAGCTAGCGCAGAGATAACACTGATAGGAGAAATGCTTCGTTTTTTCTTTTCTCCCCCAAGCCTTACTAGAGTTCTTCCTCCTGATACACTGAAGCGATGAAAATGTGCCTAAAGGCTTTCTTGTTGGCACCAAACAAACAAATTCTATTATTAAGTAATAAAGGCAGTCAGAATTCATGGTTTAAGACTTGCAGGGAATGGAGTGAAAGGGAAATTTGTATCGTTTAGTGATTATCAAACTCATTAAACTCATAGTCAAAGGCGTGGGCTACATGTCCTAAGGGGGAAGATTTGGAGCAGAGAAGTAGCAAGATCAGATCAAGTGTACATGTGAGACTGCCCACTGTGGGGCAATAAGAAAAGGTGACGGAAAAGAGGCCTGTGGACAGGTTTAGGGTGAGCAGGCAGGTTGCAAAGGCAGGAGAGGGAGAGCCAGAGGCAATGTACAGCACAACGCCTATAGCTAGTGCCAGCCATTACTTTAAAGACGAGTCAGAAAAAGAATGACAGGCAACAGCAAGACACATGGAATGGCACCGAAAAGAAGCTTCAGAAGGGCCCTGACTGTGAGAGGAACAGGTTCCTGCTGCAGGTTGCGAAGCAAAGGAGAGGCACTGCGGTCTCCTTTGACTTAGTGATACTTCCTGCGAGCCAGTCAGTGAATTTATAAATAGAGAAAATGGGCAGCAGTGGCTTGCAATCAGAATAGGCAATAAAGCGAGGGGAATGGCAAAGGGAGTTATTTTGCTTTTGATTTTGAGACAGTAGTGAATCGATCATGGCAATGGTAGAGAGTGAGAGAGTAAAGATGCTTTCAGAAGGAGTAGTAGGGAAGGACCTGATCTCAGAGGAGACAGAGAGGGATGGGGTGGCAGGTGCATTATCATTATGTGAGAGAGGAGGTCTTTCTTTCAGATGGAAGGTCGGGGCTGACAGCTATGGATTAATCACACCCGGTAGCACTGTGTCCTCTGAAGCAGGCAGCGTGATTGAGTGAGATGTTAGGAGGGCAGTGAATGGTCAAGACAGTAGGGGAGCTGAATGTGTAGAGTGACCACTGAGGGAACTGGGGCTTGAAATAGAATAAGGGATATAGAGGGCCTAGCAAATTGCACACCATGGATTTATCAAGTCACCAGCCCTATGGGCATCAGGTCTAGGGATATCTATGGTTGGGGCTTAGTCACCTGTTTTGCAAGGTGTGAGTAGATGTCAGTGGAGGAAGGAATTAAGGGTGCTGGCAAGATGTGTCAGATATGCTACGTGCTACAGATGCACAGTGAGACAGACTTGCACAGAGACAGATAAGCAGGGATTGTCATCGTGTAAGGGAACATTGGCTAGGAGGACCATTGTGGTCATCTCAACTTGGTCTGGGGAACTTTACAAACCAAACTATTCTCCAAGTTCTAGGACACTCCCCCAAAACATGTCTCTCTGGTAGTGGAGTGGGTAGCATGGCAGGGATGCTTGCTGCGGTGTTTGGTCATGAATATATTAGCCTATAATTTTCTGTTTGAGATAACTTGGTAAGAAGCTTTCATCAGAAAATGACAGTGAATAGATTTAAACAGCAGTATTAAGGACTTGGAGAGGACAGAAACAAAAGTTATACTTGGAGCTTACAGAGTCTGTCCTTGGAGCTTGGGGGTGGTTTAGACAATGCCCAGAAGCCCTCTAAATCCTGTTCCTATTTATTTGTTTTCACCAGTGGCTCAGGCCATACTTCGAGCTAGTGCCAGGTGGATATCTCCTTATTTATCTCTTAAAACGAGTCTTGTGGCAGACTATGATGCCATTTGCTTCTGTGACTTTCCATAACCTTGTCTGTTTTCACTTCCACTTGTATTAATACCAGTCGTTTAGGTTGGTCCATTCTGACCAGATCCATGTGGGGGGAGTAGGAGGGTGGGGGAGGTGGGGGATTTACATATCCCCTCGTTTGACTCATGGCCGTCCCTTGCTTTACCACTTGCTTCTGACTCAGAGCCTTTGGAGTTCCTGCTTTCACCCTGACTGCTCCCTTCCTCTGTTTCCTTTGACTTATCAGGAAGTTGCCTGCCAATCAGACATTAAGAAGGCTCACCATCATGTTCCTTTTGGGTTGCATGCCCATCTCTAAGATAGAATCTATCTGCCAGTCATGAGTTTTCTCACCTCAGAGCTTAGGAGGGTTTTATTTCCTTCCTCCAGAGTGTCTTAGGAAGGTAGAGGAAAAAGAAAAACTGAAACTTTTGAATGAAAAAAGGGCCAGAGAGACACAGAAGGCAAAGTAATCTAGAAGGCCCCCTGTTTGTTCTCTAGGGATTGAGTGACTCCCTGAAGATAGAGGTGTCTATAGCCCCAGTGGTGATGGAATAACTGTCCTGAATAAGGACTAACTGGCCCGATGACAGATTTCAATTAGAAGTTTGGAGCAAGAATACAACAGATATTCATTGGCTTCCATGTGTCAGATGTTTTCGTACATACCTGGTTCAATCCCTTTAGCTACTGTATCAGGAACAATTAAGGAAAAGAAACTCTCAGACTGAAGGCTAAGGCCAGCGTGAAACCCATAGGTAAGGTCAGCCCCACTGACTCCAAAGACTTCATTTACTTCTCCAGACTCCACTGCATCTCCACTCTGCATCAGAACTCTCATCTGATTTGTACACAGCCTGTCTGGTTTGTAGCTGGGCAAAGCTATTTTTTTATTAAGAAAGATAATCTCCAGTTTAAGGAAAGGTGTATGAGACAGTTCTATTGGTACCTGGTTGTCACGGTTCTCCAGTTGAGCATTACAAAGCCATCATAATTCAAGGCACCACTGACTCGGTAATTCACTTCATTAGCGGTGCTGCCTGAATAAAATACACAACAAATTAGAAATGAGAAAATGCTTGGGAGTGTGATAATATAGTCCAATAGCACAGGAAGTGCTGTTAGAGAAAGAAAGGAAGTGGTGGGGGAAGGAAGTCAGACAGCAGCTTGTGGGAATAGGTTCTCTCCTTCCACCATGTGTTTCAGGGACTGAAATCAGGTCACCAAGCTTGAAGAGATTTTGTGAGGATGTAGGTAACCCACACCCAATACCTTTAGAAATCGCCTCTAAGAACTCTTATAGGGTTAGTGGTGAATCTGTCTTGCTTATCTCTTTACCTTCATGCCTCCTCTCTCTCCTCTCCAACCCAGGGTGTAAGAAGTGTGGTCTGTCTTGTCTGTTTGCTTGGCTCCTTGCTGGTTGATCCAGGCACAGTGTGTCTCCACTGAACATTGTGTCCATGACCCTCAGTGTGTCTAAGAGTCAGCTAGTTAGCATGCCTGTATCCACTGGACTTTTCATTTCTGAATCAGCTAAACAACATGCATGTGTCTATGAAGCTTGTCATGTGCAGGAGTCCATTTCCTTTGTTCTTATGCTGTTTGTTAGTTTGCTTATGTGCCACTTCCAATTTTCTGAGTCTGTAAAAGCAAGCATGTGGGACTCGTTTCCAACAGAGGACAGCTCTGGCTATGTTCTTTATGGAGAAAACATTAATTTCCTGTGTCTCTGGGTGTCTTACCCAAGACAGTTATTAAAAAATAAAGGCTATTTACATACAGTGATTAAAACCACTCAATAGCTTCTTCATTATAAATACTAACCTGGAGATTAAAAAAACATGAAATGCAATGCTTTCAACATGGATTTCTTTTCAGTTTGACTTTATTGTATAATTTTTTAAAATTTAGATCCATCAGAGGTGAGAATATCAATTTTCTTTTCCAGGGAGAAATTCAGTAACAGAGTGATAATCAGGCTTTTGGACATATACCTTATCAATTAAATCTGATTTTTGTTAATAATATCTTACATATTTTCATTTTAAATCAATCTTCCTTTTCATTCTCTTTCATAAAACAGCACATATCTGGATGAGATGACACCCAAACTGACAGACAATTGCAAAAATCTACAATATAGCTTGAAGTCTTTATCTAACAAAACGAGACGGTAAGTTCCACTCTTCACATTCAATTTTAAGTAAGTGTTTTGTATTCAAAGCGTTCTGATGCATCTTTGAAATCATTTGGAAAATAAGGCTGTGCTGGTTTCTGGATTGTTGGCTCTGAGACTGTCCCCTTGTTGAGGAGGATGGAAGAGGGACAAAGAGTGCAGAGCAAGGTCATCCCCTGGCTGTAGGACTCAGCTTATCTGTCTTAGAGCCGCATTTATTATGCACTGTGTATTCTGGCTGAAAAGAAAAGCCTGCACACCCTTCTGAGAATGGGATGTGAGGTTGAGGCATTATCCCGGGAAAATGCTCACTTGAACAAAACTTTGCTTACAACTTCAGGTTAATGGTTTACCTCTGACCTCAGCTGTTGCTCACCCATCACTTACTGTTTGCAGTTTCCAGTCTCCAGTTTTCAATAATCTATGACATCATCTCTTTCTTACTGAGGGGAGGCAAGCCAAGATCTCTGCACTTGATGCATGGAAGAGGCATTGGTGGTCTGACCTTCTGTTATCAGGGTCACTGCATGGGTCATAGCTGGGATGACTAGCAGTGCTGGACTGGGGTTCTGTACATGAAGCTTGGAGCTGGATTGTTCTTATAATTCCCCTTAAATGTCATGGTATATGTCGCAAGTAGTAGGGGCTTGTTGAACACATACAGAGGACTAGGTTCAATTCCAGTACTGCCAAAAAAGAAAAAGAAGTGTGTGTGTAGGGGGAAATCATCCTGAAAGGAAATATTCTAAGCTTGTGTGCTTGACTGACAAGGGGGGAAAAGAGTAACTGGCAAGAGATGGAGCTGATTTCCTCACAGGGATCTGTGTCAGGGAGATAGACCCAGGGTCTGTCTCCATGATTCTCTTCCATTCTTTATGTTAATGCCCACTCTGGCTTTTCATGTATAACAATGGCACGGGGAGGAAGAAGTTGAGCAGGTGATCCACTTTCTCTTTCATGAGTGTGTGGGAGGCTGACCTGAGAAGAGAAGTCAAGGTAGGTGTCCTGGCCCAGCCTGCTTTACAACTGCAGCTTGCAGCAAGCCAGTTGAGGACTTTTAGCTAGTGCACTGAGCTCCCCAGCAGGCTAAGGTAGAGCTGAGTATTACCAAGGATCCAGGAGGCAGGGCCCTTTTGGAGAATGCTATGCAGGATGTACACTTTCCTGGGGATAACAGGGAGATGTTTCACAATGGTGCCTAATGTGTGGAGACTCTCATGGACCTCACATAGAAACCTAATTGGCTGTTCTAGACCAGGTCCACCAAGGGAAGGCAGGACCAACATGGAAAACCTTGGTGTCCCATGTCTCTCTCTCTCTTTTTCTGAGCTTCCTGGACCTCACATAGAAACCTAATTGGCTGTTCTAGACCAGGTCCACCAAGGGAAGGCAGGACCAACATGGAAAACCTTGGTGTCCCATGTCTCTCTCTCTTTTTTTCTGAGCTTCCTGGACCTCACATAGAAACCTCATTGGCTGTTCTAGACCAGGTCCACCAAGGGAAGGCAGGACCAACATGGAAAACCTTGATGCTCAATGCCTCTCTTTTTTTCTGATCCTCCTGAGTATCAAGATCCTTGAAATCCACCAGCATAACAATGTTGGTGGGCTCTATGTTGAGTTGATCCAATTGGACAACCTAACCCTGTACAAGGGATGGACTATTATGGACTTGCCTTCTTTTTCTTCAGATCCAGATGATGAGTGCTAAGCTTGCTGGAGAAATCTCCTGTGCTGTGTGGTGTCCATGACACACCCTATGCTCTACTCACCCTTCTAGCCTTTAATAGCTACCCAATTTTTTGGCTGTCTTTGTTCAGAAAGGTGGACCTACACAGACTTCAGCAGTCTCTATTTGCTTATCTATTGGATTTAAACATGTGGAGACATGCATCAGAGATCAAGAAGAGAGAGGAAGGAAAAGGACTGTTTTCCATGCAATACCATTCCAAGTTTCCAGGTTAACGATAATGTATCACTGTCCAAAACATGAACATGATGATCTCTCTCTCTCTCTCTCTCTCTCTCTCTCTCTCTCTCTCTCTCTCTCTCTCTCTCTCTCTCTCTGTTGTTCTTTTCCTTCTCCATCCCTCTCTCACCATTTCCCTCTCCCTTCCTTTCAGCTCAGTGATATATTGTTAATAGTCCCTGTAATCTGACCTTACCCTTGAGAAGAGTCTCTTCTATGAAACGTTACACAGTTTAAGCTCTCTATGTGTCCCACAGTGGCGAAAGCTTACTGTAAATGGATTGGAACTCCTGTGTCAGGACTTCTCATCTTGTGCAGTCCACTCACTGGACTCAGTGGCTCATGCACTGTAGATGGAACTTCCCATCTGTTTGATCCTGTCAGACCTCTTATGTTGTTTTTAGGCCCGTGGATGTTACAAGGCTCGGGTCTAGCATTTCCAGGGAGACTCTCGGTTCTAAACCTTTTGTAGTTCCCTTCGCATATCAGACACACGATGCTAAGAAACAAGAGAACTGGAAGAAGCAAACATTGCTCTTTGCTCCAGAATGCCCTGTAGAAATCTGTGTACTCATTCCCTCAAATGCATGCCAGCATATGGCCCTTGCCTCTGACTGACTTTCTCACTGATGCTGTTAAGTTTTGCTTCTGAAAGTCCTCAACAGAAGGATGATCTGTCTCTGCACATCCTGGCAAAGCACCAAGTCAGCATGGGGGAAGCTCTCTAATGTTCTGACCTGAGGTGGGGGAGCTGACAACTCTGTGCTATGACAGACCAGTCAACTGCAGCATGCTAACGAGAATGCCCCGGCACATGCTCTCCTGTGTGTTTTCTCAGTCTTGCCCTGTTGTTTGGGGTTTGATGGTGTGACCTTTCCTAGCTGCTCTTCTGGGGCTTGCCTTCCCATTACACACACAGTTTTCAACTAACCCATATAATTAGCCTGCACTAGTATTCTGTGCAGCAAAGGTCCAGGGAGAGCAGGCACAAATGGCCTACTGCTAGGAAAGTGTTATTCTTGCACACAGGAGACTAATTTTTTTTCAGTTGTATTGTCTATTGTCAGGAATTGTGCGTTCTACAACCAGGGACAATTAGGAAACTTGCAGGGGACAATTGGGAAAGCCATTCAGAGTATGGTGATTAAAAAAATAAAAGAAAAGCAATTTCATTTTCTTAGAAATAATTATTTAGTCCTATTTTTGTCATGGTCTGTTAAAGACTTAGAATTTTCTCTTTTATTGGGCAATTTGTCCCTTTCAGGTTGCTAAAATAGGTGTTAGGAGACAGAGTTACAGTGGGAGGAAAAAAACACTCCTTTTTTTTTCTGCCTAGTGTTGACTACATTTTGAATAAAAGAACAATTAAGCAGTAGAATTAGGACAATAAGAAGAATGAGTCTTATGCATGGCAATTTCTCTCTCTCTCTCTCTCTCTCTCTGTGTGTGTGTGTGTGTGTGTGTGTGTGTGTGTGTTATATGTACTTGTTAATGCAGTTGTGTGGACACGTGCATGCATTTGGGCGTTTGTCCATGATGACCAGAAGTGGATGTTGAATGTCTTGTCACTCACTCTCCATTTTCTTTCTGACACACAGTCTCTCACTGAACCCAAAACTCATCAATTTTGCTACCCAGCTTGGCTGGATATTGTATCTCAGGGATATGTCTGTCTCTTCCTCTCCCTGCAACTGCGGTTCAGGCATACAGGACCTGTCCTGCTTTTTAAGTGGGTTCTGGAAACAACCACACTGTGACCCGCATGGTTACCCAGCAGGCACTTTACTTGCACCTTTGGCCCCAAGATTCTTTATTCTCTGTTTAAAACCATGAGTTCCAAGGTGAGCAGGGGCTTGATTTTAGTTCTGTCTCTTGTGCCTGTGCATGAATTAATTGCTTCATAAACGTTTATGGAATAAGCGAGTTAATTAAGTCTGTAAAATACTTATTATACCATATAATCTGTAAATATTAAAAAAATAATCACTCAATCCAGAAGTTTTAACTCTTTTGATGCCAATTTTCCTTTACTTCAGCTTGTAGAATTGATTTTCTAACTGATCCTTTGATCCTGACCACCTCTAGATTTTTCTAGTATAATCCTTTTCACTGGGTTTTCTACCAGGTAAAAATATTAAACTGTATTAAAAATGCACCCTTACCATTGATAGTTTGCCCATTTCTCATTATGGCAAACTTATTATTTACATATTTTTGCTTATGTGTCTAGACTAATGGTTGTATAGATATCCAGGCTGTCTGTTGTAGACTTTACTGCTTTGGACAAATGAAACAGTTGCTTCAAAGGTGTTGACCTAGGTGGAGTCTTAATTGTCCCTCCCTTGCTTTTTCTGACTCTGTTGTTATTAGTCAGATTTTCTTTGCTGTAACCAATACCGAAGACGCTAGCAATTTTTGAATCTTTTCTTCTTTGTGGGTCCTGGACTTCCTCCACAAATCTTAGTTCTGTTTATTTAGTTTCCATTGTTTGACCAGAATGATGAACTACTCTAGTGAAATCTTAGAATTCAATGTCTTAATGCAAAATTCCATTTGCTCACTCTCAGTGTTCAATATTCCTTCCTGATGAGGTAACTTCCTTGGGAGCTTTCCCCTTGAATATTGTTCAGTGATTCTGATAGTCACCTCTAATAGGCAGTGTGCTGAAAAGACAAAGGAAAATCCCATACTCTACACAGCTTATAGGAGACTCAAGTTACACTCACATTCTACTGACTGCCTTGAGACAGCAGACTGTGAATGAGTTTGATGTGGGATTGGTGCTTGGGTTGTAGTGTCTGTCTGGGCAGCTGCTTGCAGCAAAAAGAAAAAAAAAAGACACTATAGAAAGAGAATACCGTCAGTGGAAGTCAACCAGGTGTCTCTACTCCGTATGTTTCCAGTAGCTTTACCATTCCAATCATCCTATTAATTATAGGCCTTGTCTTAGTTAGGGTTTCTATTGCTGCAATGAAACACTATGACCAAAAGCAAGTTGTGGACAAAAGGGTTTATTTGGCTTACACTT